AAAAAATGAAGAAGAGACTTTTAACTTTAAATTTCTAAAATTAAAAAAAAAAAAAAAAAAATGAAATAAAAATGTCGAGCTAATGATACTTCGATCTAACTAACTAAATATGCGTGTGAAAGATCGTAGAATTTCTCAGAAGAGAAAGAAAAAAAAATCTCTAAAAATATACTTGTCAACACGAGATAATAGAAATATCTCCTTTATGGCCGTTTCATCAACGACGATTTTTAATGTAACGTTCGACGACAAACTGTCCAACAGCCTACCTTCTGCGCTTTCTTCTCCTTGCGCTTGACAGCACACTGGTACTCCGGCACGACGCACTCAGGCCTCATGCCCACTGTCAGACACTTCTTCAGCCTACATTCCTGGCACTTGCGCCGCATGTACATGTCAATCTCGCAATTGTTCCCGTATTTACACTGGTACACCGCGTTCTTCGTGATGCTGCGCCGGAAGAAGCCCTTGCAACCCTCGCAGGTCAACGCGTTGTAGTGGTACCCGGAGGCACGGTCACCGCAAACCAGGCACAGCTCCTCCTGCTGCCTCGGGGTCGGCCCTTTTTTCTTCCTGGCGTCACAGCCGTCGCTGCCACCACCGCCGCCGCCTCCTCCGCCTCCTCCACCTCCGCCTCCGCCGCTTCCATAGCCGTTCAAAGAGCCAGGCTGCGACAGCTCGTCCCTACCTGCACGCACAAATTTAAAGAAAAAAAAAAAAAAAAGAAACGTATTAGAAACGAGTCTTTAACTTTAATTAACGAAAATTTCGATTTCTCGGTGAGATTCTTTTCAGTTTTCTTTGTAAAATTTATTGCGAGGATTATCGTGACAATACTTTCGAGGTCTAAGAGCCCAATTGTCACGAGTTGCCACACGTGAAAATTCTGGTCCTATGGTTTCTATGCAAGTTGCACAGAGTCTGAGGTTTTATCTGAACGTGTGTTATATATTGGCTTAAACATATTTGGATACCGGGGGCGATATGATGCCCTAAATTCCATCAGTAACCCGATCCTCCTTCCGTTCCAGAAATAAGTGAGTTTCCCAGTTTCAATGAACTTGGACATTGTTTCTATTTCCTGGGAATCTTCTCATTTTTGATTCCCTCAGCAAACTTAGCGAAAAGAGAGAAGCACATAATTGCCAAATACTATTTTACCAATGCCTTTAAATTCCTGATCATTAAAAAAAGAATATCATTCATCATTCACAGAGAAGCAAACCCAAATCAATCTATCCAGATCCGTAGAATCCAAGAAGATTAGAAGTGATTAGAACATTTTCATCCCTCTAAGAAACATCACCTTTTCCCACTTATCGTTCCATCCCAAAAATTCCAAGAACCTTAGATCTGTAGGAAACAGAAATGATGAAGGTTCTGACCAAGTTGATGAAGACGTTTGCAGCGAAGCGATTCGACTCGACTCGTCGTCGACGAGTTGCTCGCGAGGTTTCCGGTGATTACTCGGCGCGTTACGCGTGTAACGCCTGCGACTCGCTGCGGCCGCGAGGCAAGCGGGCTCCAGTAACCTACGTGGCGACATCGCCTCTATTACCCCCTTTATCCGTGAAACTCGTCGAATGGAACGCCGCGCGGTAGAAGTCACGGTCGGTGAAAGTACGCGGCGCAGCTTTGCACGCGTGCGCCATCCTCCAGCGAGGCGGAATCGAGCGCCGCGTGGCTTCTGTTCTCAACGGGAACACGGGGCTCGCGGCAGTCCCTTTTATCAGAGTTATATTTTTACACTTAACGTAAATATAAATGTATCATCCACAGAATTACAGTGTAACGTTCAGCGGATGGATAAAATTATCATATAAAAATAATAATATTATTGTTAGTAATTTACATTATTATAAATAAATAATAGTATTACTTTTCATTTAAAAATGAAATAATAATAATAATATTAATAATAAATATATAAATAATAAAATTAATATATAATAATAATAAAAATAATAATATTGTTGTTAGTAATTTACATTATTATAAATAAAAAATAATATTACTTTTCATTTAAAAATGAAAGCTCCCTTTCGTTTAAAAATTAAAGTTCCCGTTTCGTTTATTCTCAGGTGAGCAAACATTTGAGCGGTTGGAAGATCGAGTAGATTCCTATTTTTGATCTGGATAATTTCGGTAAAAGTAACTCAATCCCGCTTTGAAATATTGCCTGCTACCGGACTTGATTATAGTTCATTCCATGTTGCAATTCTCCGTTAAGAAATTTACGTAAATTCTTTTATTAAGAAAGACTAATTCTTTTCTTAATTATTACGTTACATAAAATAGTATGATGTTTCAAGTAAATGTCTTTAAAGTATCTCATCGTTTGACAATTATTTGAGGACTTGAATTAATTTCTTGGATTTTCCATCGATCGAGAGGCCCGAGAAAGGAAATGATCGCGTCGATTTTCTCCTGCTGCGAGAAAAGCGAACGTGGTCTCTCTCCTTCCAGGCGATTCCGCGAAGAGATGCTCGGCGACGGATTCCTCGGATCACCCGGAAGTACTGATCACCGTGAAAACATCCGCCTGGAACACTGAGACACTGACCGGGCTAGGTGGTCACTCGGTTATTACCCCTTCTTCATCGTCCTCCTCTTCGCTCAACTCGCAATCTTTTCACCTCCTCGATACATTCTCCTCTTCCTTTCATCTTTTTTCTTTCCTCCAAACTTTCCTCCTCTTCTCGCCAATTTCCGTAGCCATCTGAACGAACCTCTGCCTCGACGAATTATTTTCTAGAGAATTTCCTCTAGAACGATGACATTTCTTGTCATCTGAAAGAGGTGCGTATCTTTCGAACAAAAAACGTTACCAGATCTCGTATCTACGCATCAATTACACTTTCCAAATATATTAGAATCCATTAAAAATCTGCTTTCGCTGGAATTTCATTGCAAACATTCGCCACAAATCGACGAACTTTGTCTTCATTTGTTCCATGCTGGGAACATACCGCTACGTCGTTTGTAACATTTCAGAAAACACGACTGAATGACGAAACTGATCATTGATCAAATGCAACAATGTTCGTCTTTTAAAGGTCTGCGTCTTTATCGTCAGGTTGAGATCCGTCTCCTGTAGTTTGTACAACGTCTGAGAGATGACTTGCCGGTAATAAATTGGCAAAACTTATGCGAGAGTACGAGATCGAGAGATCTTGGCGCACGGGTGAAACTGAAGGCTAATAAATTACTGGTATGACCTGACACTGGCACAAAACTTGATACCTGAACGTCTGGTTTTGCGCACACATTAGCAAGTAGCACATAGCGATTCTATGTAGAGCGAGCAGACTTCTCGTTTCAGTGCCTCAAACAGGTTTCTTCGCTGCTTAACGCCGTTGCTGGTATTCCCTGATAGTTTCTCCCTTCATAATGTTGTCGAAACACTTCTATACTTCAACGTTCGTTCAGTTTTCATCAATCATAACTTAAGATTTAGCGCGTAACCAGACGTTTCACCCCCAACTCTAGGGGAAATTCTTGTCGGCAAGATTTAATCCGATGCTTGATACACGATTAATCGAGAGTAGAAAATTATTGGAGAAGATTTGACGAGGAGTGAAGGAATTTAAAAAAACTCGAACGTTCAACTTTTCTAGACACTAGGACAAATTTTTGAGTGAGTCTTTTTAGTAAATTTTATCTGCAAGTTTCGTTCCTCCAGATTTTAGGGAGTTTCTCGAAATTAAAATTTTCGATTAATATACTTCTGAATCTCACCTCCAGGCCATTAATAAAAATCATCTAATAAAAAAACAAAAGGAAGAACTGTAGTTCAAAGTGAAAGATCCATCATTTCATTCGCGCTGCTTTTTAGGTTAGGATTACATAAAAACATCGGTCACCGAGCAATGAAATAGATCAAGACTGAGAAAAAATTCATTGTGTGTTCGACGAAAATCTCTCAACGAGTATCTTCATAGCAAGGCAGCTTTCTTGCTGCTGACCTTGACATTGACTTCTTTCCACCCAAGCCTGTGTATTTATAGAGTGCAAGATGGAGATTCACAGACTGAGCAAAAGTCTGGGATCTCTCAGTGCGACTAAACAGATTAAAAATCACGCGGCAATAGCTTCTTTTTCATCGTTTTCCACACAGACGCGAAGAATGGTCTCCTATTTAAAATTCTCCAGGCTTCCAAAATTTTCTAGCCTTCGGAATTTCGACGAACACGAAGGTACCGAATGCAAAGTAGCTGGAAGCTCGTTTAGAATTTGAATGACGAGCAAAATGTGATGAGATTCAAACGTTTCGTTTATTTGGCAATGCCAAACGTTCTAGATTCATCGCTGAAATTCTTAAACAGAGTTGCCGAGGACCCTAGATCTCAAACATGCCACGACGACTTGTTCACACACGACGATGGCACAGTGAACTCGCCGAGAAGTTTATTTCAAACTTGTAACACGAAATTGCTTTCCGGCATTCTTCCCGTTTACCAGACGAAGATTGGATCTCGTGTTTGCTGTATAAAATTCCCCTAGAATTTTGGGACAATAACCAGGACTACAATCGATGTAATATTGGGTTTGTTGTCACTGTTATATGAAACAAGTTGTAACAGCATTTATTTACGTATTATAAAATTATGAAAATTTTAGAAACTCTAACATTTATTGTTTCTCCATTAGTAACAATTTAGATAAAATTAAATTACTATCAGCTGATATTACGATGTGAATTGTAATTTTTATTTATTACTATTGTTAAACATTTCAGTGTTTCTTTCATCATTCGAATTAAAATTAAAATCAGATTATTTTTCGAAAATAGCTTTCAAGTAAAAGTTAAAAGATCTGAAGCATTGGAAATCGCTTTCATACGAAGCGTATGATGTACTAGAAATTACACAGTCTACAATGAAATAGGTTTCACCTTCATGTTCACGTTAGAACGCAAATATACCTTCTACGTGTTACATCAGCTTTGAGGACATCCTGGCTGACAGAAAGTTAGCTTGGAAGTTACAAAACAGGCAAGCAATTGAAAACATTACCAATCAATCTTAAAAAACTGAAGAAGATTCCAAGATCTTAATTGAACAGAGAGAGAGAGAGTACCAATGGGACTTTCATTGACAGTACCAGTAGTGTGTATCTCCTGATTTGGTCCAAGCAGGTCTAAAAATCTAAAAGATCAAAAAACCTCAAATCTCAACATTTGACTAGAGGTCCTCGTAAAGCCAAATCTACGTGAACAAATGAACCCTGTGATAAATCCTACAAATCCAAATCGCCACTAATCCCAATTCTATCGCCTGGTCTGCCTAGAACCCTATACGGACACGCAGAGATCCGGTGGAAATGGGAAACGGGAAAGGAAACACTGTGTTTTGGTCTGACCAGACTCGAGAAGCAGCCAAGAGTCCCAGGACGCTGTGGGTCGTTCTCGTTTCCTCGTGGCTGGCAGGCGGAGGAAGCGAGGCACAGCCGCGAGGAGCAGTGCTCACTGGCCCGTTTTAGCTTTCCTCTGTTGGCAAGAGCGACAGCGCGGATCGGCAGAGACGCGGACAGGCGAAAGGAGAGACGAGAGGGAAACGAGAAGGAGGAGTTGACAAGGAAGAGAGGGAAGAGCGAGCTGGCTGAGTGAACGAGAGGGAGAGAGAGGTAGAGACTCGCTGTCTATTAAAGGCAAGAGCCAGCAGGATCGAGAAGGACGCGTGCAAAGGA